AACTTCTCTCTTTATTCTACTTTGTACATAATAAGACAAGCCTAGAAGAGCGATAAAAGCGCGGCATTATGCACACAGAAAGACCGCTAACTTCATTCAACGACAGCAGCCAAAACTGATGAACGCCTTAGCGGAATAAAATGAAAATTACCCTCGAGAATCTCCAATGATTCCAGCCAAAGGGCCCCGGAAAGACCATATCGGAAAAGCTCCCCAGATGTCGGAGGTGCCCGAAGTTGCCTGGCCTGTCAGCGATGAACCCGCCATCTGCCGACCGCGTGGCCGAATAAGAAGCTGTCCTGAGAGGACAAAGATGCTTCCCCCTCCACTTTCAAGCAACTAATAATCGATATTATTTCACTATCTCCATCGCAGGAACGGCGTTTGGGCCCCATTACATCCTGTCTATCCATATCTAGATCAATTGCATGCACATAACTCTCCGGAGCTGCTGCAAGTAAAGCATTTTGGTTCCTCTGTTCTGTTTTCTTTCTATATCTTAGTTGTTGGTGTTGTTGTTGTGTCGTGGTCTGGGCCAGGCTGCCTCGGTAAGCTCCCCAGTGCAATAACCGTCTCTCTGTCTCTCTCTCCAGCCTCCTCTTCACATAAACAAACAGCGGCCGGCCCCCTTTCCCTTTAGCTTTCATTTAACGTCCTCTTGTCCAACCCCACGATTTTTCTTTCTATCCAACCTAGCGGCCTCCTTAGCCACCTCGCCTCATATTTACTCGTTCCGTGTCGATTGTCCATTATCCGTTGTTCTCATTCCTGAGCCTCTGTGACTGACCATCTCTCTCACTGCGCATAGCTATCGGCTATTCTTATCGCCTCCACTACCCGATCTGTCTACCGACCCGCAAGTTCCAATAACAACAGCAACCATGTCGGTCAAGTTTCAGGAAGATGTCACCAAGTCAATCCGAAAGGATACCAAGGAATTGGCGCATAAAGTTGGGGAGCGGTTGACGGGTGGAGATACTCAGACAGGCTACCTCGCTGTATGTTGATCTGCTGCTGATCGATTTCTGGAAGAGTACTGCGCGGATAGATGGCTGACCGGGCATTTGAACATGGCATAGCTTTACCTGCGCCAGCTGCAGTCGAATCCCCTGCGCACGAAGATGTTGACATCCGGTTTGCTTTCCGGTCTTCAAGAAGTCCTAGCTTCCTGGATTGCAAACGATGTCAGCAAGCATGGGCATTACTTCAGCGCTCGGGTGCCCAAGATGACCCTCTACGGCATGTTCATCAGTGCGCCTCTGGGCCACTTGCTCGTCGGCATCCTTCAGAAAGTCTTTGCTGGTCGCACCAGCTTGAAGGCCAAGATCCTCCAGATCCTCGCCAGCAACCTGATTGTACGTCTCTGTCAAACATGCACTCAGCGCGGCAAATCTAACCGTATTCACATTGCAGGTCTCCCCCATTCAAAACGCAGTCTACCTCACGTCGATGGCTATCATCGCCGGGGCGCGCACCTTCCATCAGGTCCGCGCAACCGTTAAGGCCGGCTTCATGCCCGTCATGAAGGTCAGCTGGATCACCTCGCCTCTGGCGCTCGCTTTCGCCCAGAAGTTCCTTCCCGAGCACACCTGGGTGCCGTTCTTCAACATTATCGGGTTCTTCATCGGAACCTACGTCAACACTCACACTAAGAAGAAGCGCCTGGAGGCTCTGAGAAAGGTACAGTCATTTTCTCGTTTTAAGTAGAGCCCGGCTAATACGCAGCAGCGCTATGACCAACGCCGTGGCCCCGGCAGCGAGTATGAGAAGGGCGGCGACTACCGGTAAAGGATGCCACTATATTTAATGACTCGCCAGACCATGACAGGCCGCTTGACAAACTGAGACCAAGATCTCGGGACCTTTAGAATTACTCGGATATTGAAATTGTGGCTGGTGGACTGCTTTGCATGCATATGATGCAAGCCAATTTATTTCTTGAACATGCCTCATGTGATCTTTCTTCGACCCAGTGATTCCCCTGACGTCGAGATGAAGATATGCCTTTTCTTGTTATCTGTTACGACGACTTTTTTAAATATTGTATGTGAATGTTTATGATGCCTTGGGCTTTGAACTATCTATGATTTGGTCTGGTTGCTTGCATTTCAGCCCGATTTCCGACTTATCCCTTACTAGATGATAGACCAACAACAGTCTTTGAACTATTGTAGTCTCCAGTAACATAGTGAGTGGCCTTTGACACTAGAGAGAAGTTGAATTGCTCATTTACACATACTCACGGAGTACGAAGGATGGCACACACTCTTGAAGAGAAAGGGATCAGGCCATGCCTAATAAGACTGATTGATGAACTCCATCCTTCTTCGTCAGTGGTTACTCGACCTCCATCTCCTCCGAAGACTTGCCCCGTTTCGCCTGCACCCATCCCACAAACTCATCCAGGGTTCCCGGCCAAGCGGCGTCAGCACTCCACCAACCAAAGTTCTCATCCTCGAGGGTCTTGCGCAGGAACACTTCTACCTGTTCCCACAGGTCCTTGTTGACAGGTCGTTTCCCACGCTCTTCGAGGTATTCAATCCACCAGTCCAACCAGGGAGTCGTAGACGTGTTCCACTGGATGCCACCATGCTCTGGTGTAAAGAACAATCTCCACTGTTCTGCGGCAATATCAAACTGGAGATTCCGCTGGCCTTGCATACGACAGAGAGGAAACGTGTACCGATAAACGCGACGGAAGAGGTCTGGCTCAGCCGGGATGCGAGCTCGAATATCCGCCGCATGAGCAATCATCTTTTGTAGATTGTCACATCTATATTGCCGTATTAACACGGGTACAGGGCGGGATTAACTAGAATCGAGTGCTCACTTACCCAGCGCTTCTCCAGCCGTTTACAAAGCCTTCTCTCGTGAACTCACCCATGGACGGCGACTTGAGAATCTCTGCAATTCCTAGGCATGCCACCTCGTCTAATTGTACTTGAATATCCCCCAGAAACTTCATGGCACCTTCAATACCGATTCCGTCAGGGTTCTCTTCGGGTGCATCTAAGCTTTAATTAGCAACTTGCAGGGTGCTAATCAGGTGTCGGGTTCTTCAACAAGGAAATACCTCGATACGAATCGAAAATCTTGTTAAGGGCGGGAGTGCTTCCCCCATTACCCTGTGGGCTCTGGAAGTAACTGACAATTCGATTAGCCTTCGCTTGGAGACAAAAGTTAAAAAGATTCAAACAAAGAAGCAATTGCGGATAAAACAGAGCCAACATCTGCCAAGACGACCTGGATTCAATGAGTGCACTTGAAGACTCCGGATACTGGGAATTTATAGGCCTCGCCTCTAAGCTCAGTCCATCTGATGCCCATTGCAAGTCTCCTCGGAAGCTCGATGCTCACGACGAAAGCAGCAGTTCCAGCCAGGAAGAGTAGCTGCTGGATGATAGGACCTTGGCTTTGACAGCGCAAGGTAGAGTGGGTACCTGCGTATGAATGCATGCCATTCTGAAACTACCAACATAGCGTGATCGCTCATTTCCAGATCCAAAAGGCAGCAACCCAGAGAACTGCATAGGGCGAGCCAGAGCAGGAAGATACTATGTACGTATCTGAGAGCAGGAAATGGCAGCAGTAACACACATGGACTTCCCACGGCTAGCTGAATGACCACAGGGCGTCCCGTTCAGTACCAATGGAAGGGGATTCGGCATTCATCCAGTATAGCGTCATTGAGTTGAATGTCTGTAGATGCACAGTTAAAAGCACCAGGACCCATTCTCCAGATACCCGGGGAAAAGTTGCAGGACGCGGCGCGACGCGATGGAAGAGTATGGTCCAAAGGGCAGCGGCCACACAACAGATCTTGTTCAGAAAGGTGCACTAACACTTGTTATGTACCACTTATCTGCGCCCAGGCAACAGATACCGCTCTAAAAGATTCGCTGAAGACCATGCAGCAGATGTTGAACATGGAGAAAAGAACGCACTCACAAACGAAGGGAAAAGGAAAGGAACAAATCCGAATACTTACGCGTCAATAGCTTCCTCTACATTCCACCTATGTGCCTTTAGGAACTGTAAAGCCCAGGATAATTAGTGATGATGGATATGTAAAATTTCACGTGATCTGAACTTAAAAGTGACAACTTTGGCAGGGTTTCGATGATTGGATGGGCCGAATTCAGCAGAACATACCTTTGCTGCTACTGCGTCCTTAGCTTCTGTGAAGTTCACGAACTGGGAGATTAGTTGCTTCTGTACTCCGGAATAAGGTGGCATGGTGGGGTGATGGTGGGCGATAGTCGACGAGGGAAGTTGAGATCTGGTGGAGTCCGACAGATGAGGAGAACGCGAGAGTTGAGCTAGTATCTAGTGAGATTCGTGGCAGTGGTCACAGCCGACAGAGTTGAGTAAAAAGCTGAAACAATAAGAGATGACTGAAGGGATTAACTAGAGATGCCTAGACCACGCGAGGAAAGTTCCATCTTCGCCATTTGAGGCGCTGACTGATGTTCTCTTGGGCACGTGCCCAACAGCTCCTATTTTGCATGCGTCCGACGAAGTCATGAAATCGATATGAGGTTATACAATTGTCGCCTTATGAGTGAAAACGCAATTCTGCAAACTACTTTTTTGTCGAAGAATTGGAATATATAGGCAGCCCTCCAGTCTCGGAACCTGGCGGTGTTTGACCTCTCAACAGCTATCAGCTTACGCGACTATTTACTGCCATTGCCTACCTATCTATGTTGAGCAAGGTTCCGCGGCTGCCTCATCAGGAGAGCTATTGTCCGATAGATTTTGAGGGCTATAGTGCGATATCGTCGGACTCTCAGGCCAAGGAACCATGGCGTTTTACTGGTAGTTTCGAGAGCAGAATGCATAATACGTAATATAGAATGGAAGATGATAGTTGATATTGGACATAGAGACGAAAAGACTTTTGTAGCCGAACAGATGCGAGACTCCAAACTCCTGCGAGAATTCCTTGATATCTAGTATGCGAACACCATGTATGATCCTGCCTGTGAAAAGCACTTCTATCACGTCGTAAACAGAGTATCTTCCTATACAAAGGTTAGCATTTAGATATGATCCCAGAAAGTTCGTGACAAAGAACGAAGCAACATACCTCTCTCAGGTATTCTCCTACATCCGCTTGCCGAAACACGGCGATCGCAGTGGGATCCAGCTTGCGGATCTCAGCGGTGGATCTGGCAGTAACACCGAATCCCTGAGCTAAGTCAGTTGCCTATCCAGAAGACCTTTGCGGTTGTAGACCATCCTTACCAAAGGTGTGTCGTTCGAGTCGTACACCAAGACTCCTGTATGCTCTGGGATATCCTCACTCCATCTTCCGACGTGCGCTTTCACAACATTCGACCCGTAGAGGTAAGGCATGATACCATTGTCCTTGATCCAGACCTTGTATCTCGCATGAGGGGCAATCACGTCGAGCGCTAACCATGCCACCACGTTAGCCAGCCATGCCACTTGAATTCTGCGTGACAGAATAAACGAACCTGTGATATGGATTCTGAACTTTCCAGTCTTGGTGAACTTGCCAATACAGATTCCGAGAGAAAGAAGGGTGTCCCGAGCAAAACTCGTCGATAAATCTGCCAGTGACTTCTTCACGTAGTACACTCGGTTTCCTTGAAGACGAAAGACATGTCGCTCCTCCTCGGAATCGGACTGGGGCACGATAAGGTTGTTGAGTGACCGTCCGGTATAGCCTGCCAACTTGGCAAGTAGCGTCTGTAACTCCTGCTCCGTAAGTTGACGCATTTTTGCTTCTGCTCTGATCAGAATAAAAATTTCTTGAAGCTCCGCGGGAACAAAAATTCTAGACAAGGTGGAGCGGGAGCTCTAGCGTGAGATTCTTGGCGTTCGGGGAAAATTCAAAGGAAGAAAAAAATAGTTTCGACTCCGAACTTCGACGATTGCCGTCTCTGATTTCGAACAATTCACGCTCAGAAATTATGGCCCCTGGACGCACGATAAAGAGGAGACGACTAAGTCCTCCCGTTGATGAGGAGGACACCTCCTCCCCACCCTCGCGTGATTCTCTCAACGATTTCTACAGCAATGCTGCCGAATGGGATCTCGAACAGGACTACGAGCGCCGACCGCGCAAACTAGGCAAGAAAGACAAAGAGAGCACTAGGTTGCCCATTAAGACACCGGAGGGGTTTCAAATGGTCGAGGAGTCTGAACAAGAGGCGGAAGAGTCTGACAGCTTTCTCGGTACCGACGACGACGAGGACGGTGATGAAAATGACGCCGATTTCGACGACGAGGATATGGAAGATGACGACGAAGATGCAGAGGAAACTCCGAAAGTTCCATTAAAGCTGCAGATTATTCAAGCGAAGGAAGAGCTGGCGAAGCTGGCGACAATCATCAACGAGGACCCGGAAGAGCACATTTCCTCCTTCAAGACCATGGCTGATATGGTAGAGAACGGCCAACACGTCGCGATACAGAAGCTGGCCCTCGCTTCGCAGGCTGCTGTCTACAAGGATGTTATTCCCGGTTACAGGATCCGTCCTCTTACCGAAGAAGACATGTCCGCGAAAGTCTCGAAAGAAGTGCGCAAGCTCCGGAGCTTTGAACAATCGCTATTGTCGGGGTACAAGCACTACGTCCAGAAGTTATTGGATCTTACAAAATCCTCAAAGCGTGATACTGCGTCCGTCGACCCCGGCTTGAAAAGCATCGCGATCAATTGCGCCTGCAACCTCCTCCTTTCCGTACCACATTTCAACTTCCGCACAGAGCTGCTGAAAATCCTTGTAAACCGTCTCTCAAGAAGGCAGATCGATGCTGATTTCATCAAGTGTCGAGAAACAGTGGAAGAGGTGTTCCGCAAGGATAATGATGGAATAGTCTCTTTGGAAACTGTCCGTCTGCTGTCGAAGATGATGAAAGCCAAAGATTTCAGGGTACACGAGAGTGTCTTGGACACATTCCTCCATCTGCGCCTGCTCTCCGAATTTTCGGCAAAGGGCTCGAGAGACAGGGTAGACCGCGCGCCAGCAGAAGAAGAGAATACCTTCAACGGCAAAAAACCGAAGCAGAAGCGCGAATTCCGCACCAAGCGAGAGCGCAAGGTGCAGAAGGAGCGAAAGGCTGTGGAAAAGGACATGAAAGAGGCGGACGCTTTAGTTTCCCATGAAGAAAGAGACAAGAACCAGGCGGAGACACTGAAGCTCGTCTTCGGCACTTACTTCCGCATCCTGAAGCTTCGCATTCCCAATCTCATGGGTCCCGTTCTTGAAGGTCTCGCGAAATACGCACACCTGATCAACCAAGACTTTTTTGGCGACCTGCTGGAAGCTTTGAAGGACTTGATCGGCCACGCCGACAAAGCCGAGGTAGAAGATGCCGACGAAGAGGAAGCACAGGAGGAAAGCGGGTCGACGTCGCGAGACGCTCAACGCGAGGCTCTGCTCTGCACCATCACTGCCTTTGCGCTTTTGGAGGGGCAAGACGTTAGCAAAGCGGCATCATCTCTTCACCTGGACCTGAGCTTCTTCGTCAAGCATCTCTACCGCTCCCTTTATTCCCTCTCCGTCAACCCCGATGTCGAATTCAACCCCACCAAGGCACTTCGCCTACCTGATCCGAACTCACACGAAGCGAACGGCTCAACGCACCGATCCAAGAGCAAAGTCAATTTCCAGACACCCACTGTCCTCCTCCTTCGGTGCCTCCAATCTACGCTTCTTTCCCGCGCGCATGGAACACCACCCACCATCCGACTTGGCAGTTTTACCAAACGGCTCATGACAACCTCTCTCCAGGTACCTGAGAAGTCTGCACTTGCGACGCTGTCCCTTCTGAATCAGGTCGCCAAGCATCATGCGCGCCGGATCGCGCCACTGTGGCACAGCGAGGAACGGAAAGGGGACGGAGTGTTCAACCCCTTCGCCGCTGACATTGAGACGACCAACGTATTTGCGGGGACAGTATGGGAAGGCGAGTTGCTGCGTCTTCACTATTGCCCTCAAGTTAGAGATGCGGCAGCGGATATAGAAAAGTTGATTGTGGGCCGTAATTGAGTTGCCATTACAATACCAGTCTTCAGTCTTACGTTGAGTTTATGATCATTTCACAAATTTCTTGTGCATTTTTCCAGTGCTGGCTATCACATAACTTTTTTTGTGTCTTTCTGTCCTTTCCGTATTTTCTCAGCCATCGACATACTGGTGATACCCCTATGTAAACTGAGCACGTGAACGCACGGTCCTGCAAGAATCTCCCGTCCTCCTCACATCATTAGTGCGAATAGATCCCAATCCATCACTCCTCATTGAGTAATAAAACCAGTTACCAAATTGACCAAATCCTCTGGTCCTAAGGAAGGCCTCTGGTCATGAGTTTAAACAGAAATGCTGAGCTTCGGCAAAACTTCGAGTGAAATCTTATTCCAGGTCCCATCATCGACAATCCCAATTCAACTTCAGATTGAAATAAAAACCTCAAAGCGAAGCAGTCACATATCTCAATGATTCGTGCCCAACAGACGAATAGTCAACGAAGTTCATCTGAATTTTGAGATCTAAGCGTGATGGTTGCTCTGATTACTCTCAGGCGAGGCTCCACTGTGCGCTGCCGGATACCAAGTTGCAGCCTGCCAGTCCGGTGTCCCCGTTTGAGCTGAAGCAGTGACAGACACAGGACCAGAAACCTGGAGGGAAGCAGGTATACTATGCGGAGTTTGGCCAGCATAGCTCGGCCGCACTGGAGGTGCTCGAGGGGGCGCAGTCGCCGCAGGGGGACGCAACTGGATATCCATATTGACCGACGAAGACGAAGAGGGTGTAACAGCGAAGGCGTTTGCGGGCAAGCGGTTTGCGGTTGGTGTTCTGGTGCCGATGTTCTGGTGAGATTGCAAATTTTTCAATCGGCGTCTCTGCGAGGTAGGTCTCGCGGTTGCAGAGGTCGTCTGTCCGGTCTGTGTACGTGGCTCAGATTTGAGGCGTTCCCGGTCACGCATGATCTGCTGCTGTCTGTCATTGCGTAAAGCTGGGTGGATGGAGCTCGGGCTCTCCTCGCCGAATGTTGAAGGCTGTGAGGCTCGGACCGCAGCGGCTGGAGCAGAAGGCGTTGAGGAATGGCCGTTCTGTCCCTGGGGGTTCTTTGCCTTCTTATTGCGACGGGGCGTGCGCAAGAATTTGCTGCCGGTATGACTTTCACCATCATCCCGGCGGCGGAATCCAAACATCCCCTTCTTGTGAGGGGTCTTCACACTTTCATTGGTGTCAAGGTGTGAGGTCTGGATGAGCGAACTCTTTCCATTCTCAGGAGAAGAGTTGGCTGCAGACTGACGACTAAGCTTGGGTGTCTTAGGCTCAGGAGAGCCTGACGACTCCTGAGCAGGATTTCTTCTCACCCCTCTCTTCACCTGAGACTCTGTGATCTCTCGGCGTTTCTCTCCCAAAGGTGTGCTGCGGAAAGGCACGGTGGTGGACGGAATGTTTTGAGCGGGTCCTTGGTTGTTGTGTTGGGTCAAAGAAGCCTCGCCCCCAGACATGTTCTCACTTTCTTCCTTCTCCTTGCCTTTCTTCCTGTCTTGGTTCCTCCTTACTTCCATCTTAGCCCTCTTTACAGCCTGCTGTCCAGTTGTATCCTGTTGTTTCTCACCGTCCTTGGTCACAACGGGAGTATTTTGAGCTGCCTGCAACTCAGTACCTGTGATCTTCGGATCCGGTGCTGAGTTGCAGGAGGCACACGCCTTCTGAGGTGACGTTCTTGACGCGTTAATTTCTGCTCTCAGTCTGTTGATTTGGCTCGAGACACCGATCAACAATCTCTCTTCCATACGCCGCATTTGGATTTCAATTGCTCCAACCTGACATTGAAGACTGGTCATACCGCGGTGCAGGTCTGACACTGTCTCATTTTGGCCTGCCGTGCGGGCATTGATTAAACGCAGAACATCGGACATGGCGTCTGTCTGTCGCAGAATCTGATCCTTCGACCAGTTGTTAGAGTTCTCAAGTACCCTGCAAAGTCTATGAACTATGTTGTTCATATGGACATGGACTGCCTCGATATGAGACGTGAGCTGCTGTTCCAGGTCCGCTGTGTTTCGGTAGCCTGGATGTGGTGGAGGAGGAGCATAGCCACCGTGACTTGTAACGCCAGCGAAAGGATGATGACCAACATCAGCGTGAGGTTGAGTATTGAGATGCTGGGTGTGGGTCTCTTCGAGTGCTGGTTGATATACGTCTGCTATCATCACCGTACGCTGAACTCCCCCGTGACCATGGTTGAAAGTTGCAGGATAGCTTGGCTGATCAGTCGCAAGCATCACAGGAAATCTATGTTCATTCGCGTGAACTCCTTCCCGTCTATGTCTGTGGTCGGTGGTTGGAAGGTCTGGGGTCATCTCGGCACTGGCATTGTCGTATATGGACAGCGAGATCGGATCCGCAAATTCATCTTCCACCGCATAGAACGAGATATTTGTCGATGCAGGGCTTCCCAGATCGTTCTCCGCTCTCAGGCTGCGAATGCTCGGTTGCTCCCTGATGACCTGGCCCTGTCCACTGTTTTCGAGCTCGCCTGCGCGGGCCGCGGGGGAAGAGCCAGTCAGTAGCAGGGTATCAAGCTGCAATTTCCTCTCACACCCTCCCTCGACAGGGCTCTGCATGGCGTTTCTACCCGCAAAGGGCCCAAGGCTCAACTTCTCGATGTTTGGCTGCTTGTCACTTACCATGGAACTAGCTACGGCACAGGATTCAACACTCGCTTGCGAAAACTGTCCAAAGCTGATGTCCCTAAACGGAAAGGGTGGTGCAGACGATGGGTAGACTCCCGGCTCTCGTGGCTTAGGTACATACAGCTTCTCTTCGTTGAAGTCGTGAGTCTCTCCGCCAGAGGTCTGTCCGCCTTCATTGTCCGCTGCTGGCTCGTTCTTAGAGCTGTCCCTGCGGAACTCCTTTGCAAGGTCTTTAAGACTGAGCTTGGACCTGAGCGCAGCCACTCTGGATTTCATTTTTTCTTTCTGACTGTTTTTGTCCCCCTTATTATTCTCAGAAATGACTTCAGGCCGAGCTGGCTCGGTGACTGAACGTTTCTTAGTCATGTTAGGGTTGCTGATGACGTCCGGCTTGCAAGCCTCAACGGGCTCGCCATTATCTTCCACAGGAAGGTGGCGTGGCTTTGGCATGGGAACGGCCAGGTCAGCGTCATAATCGAGACCCGACGACTTGCGTGAGGTGGTTGGTCTGGCACCCATGACTGGACCCTTACGAGGTATAGCGACTACGGCGAACCAGCTTATTAGCACCAAGCTTCTTCCGTCTTCAGGGAATAACCTTCGTTGACCCTTGTCGAGGAGATATTGGATGCTTGCTTACCTTTATCGAAGCTGGTGTTGGCAGTCTGCTGCTGCTGCTGGTTTTGCTCGTGAGCCTTCATCTGCGCCCACGCGTTTCCACTCTGCGATGACATGGCAAAGTAGCAGAAGTAGTAGGAGTTTCTTTTCAAAGGGTTCTTGAGCAGTGATGTCAGAAGCTTGTTGCTTACCACTATGGTTGAATTAGAGCAAAAGTGGAAGAATTATGGAAGTGTTGCTGTGGATATGAAGAGTAATGATCGATGGTCAGCTAGGATGCTTGGGAGGGTGTCTGGGCTCGCTTGGGATCTCACTTTCGTGTGCGAGCACCGCGCTTCTAGGGAGTAAACAGAACTTCACGGAATATCTGCTCAGTGATGTTTTCTTGTTTGTGTTGCTGGTCCTGGTGCTGGTGCTTGCTAGCGCCTGAGGAGCAGACGTCACTCAGGAGCTCAACGTGAATTGCAACATGTACCTAGATTCTTTGAACATTTGTCTCTTTCTCTCTGGCAGGCAGAATGATATCTGGCTTAGGACCACCCAGTTCTTTTCTTAAAGTACATGTAGCTATCCCCAATTGGAAGCTGCGGTCAAATAGGATGCCGCTTCGTAGCTGAGCTGTATAGAGGCAAGTCATGGATTCAGAATACACAACACTTAGTTCGAGCGGATTCTTTCTGGATTATACGAAGCTACGCTGCGAGTGTGGATTGCGATTCCTACTATATGGTATACATGCTCTTTTCTGGCATTGATTGAGAATTCTGATAGTTCAATAGGGCGATATCACGGTATCGTTCCTAAGAGACGGGGCAAGATGGAGGTAACAAACCATGCCGTCACTGAGGTCTAATTATGAAAGGAGGATATTTATGTCTGAAAGTCTTGACAGACAGTAATGCTAACTGGACTGCAGACACGGCTACTTTCTTACAGATCTTAACGGTAATAGGAGAAAGTAATTCAGCCTATGGCGAGGGTAATGCCACTAAGAGACTAGCTTGATATTCTATAGTAAGGAGCATCGTTTTGAAAATCGATAGGTCTTCATTCATTCATCATAATCATCAAACATAAACATCATTACATACTGGCAGACGATCACATCAACAGCAAACTTCCAGCCAGCCATATCGATTGCTACCAAGGTCAGACAGCCTTCCAAGGTTGTGAGAGAATTGCGACAGTTAGAGAGTAGAGTAAGGGAAATAATATTAACAAATTGAGAGCGAAATTCACAAATATCAAATACAGGGGAATCGAGTCGAGTAAAAATGAGCGGCGGTAATTTTTAAACAGATTCAGACTTATCGGGTATATGCACGCCAAATAAAAGCCAGCAAGGGTGCAGCGAAAACGGTCATCAAGAACAGATTCCTGAATCTCATTAGCTTTGGCAATGACAATGATTAAGCGATTATTTGATCACTCCTGGAGTTCAGAGACTCTGTAGAGCGAAATTATTTCTCGGACAAGCGGTAGCAGCAACCATCTACTGGTTCGTCCCTCCACGACGGCGGAAGGGCGAGAAGATGGCGCCGAAGAAATTGCCGAAGACGGCACGCAAAATAGTCCTCAACCAGCTGTCTCGCTTATGGTTCAAGGAAACAGCAGTGACTGACCGATTTTGACTGGGAGAACGAGGCTCCTCGTTGTTCTTGGGGGCAACTGCCTTGCCGACATCGCCCTCAGTAGGAGCAGAAGACTCGGTCGCGATGGAGGGGCCGTCGGTAGAAGCAGGGGCGCGCTCATCGTGAGCGGCTGGCTTCACAGCCTGGTCATCGCTGGTGGACGGAGTAGGTTCCGCAGGCAATTGTTCAGTAGATGGCAACTCCAGCTTTCGGAGAAGAGCTTCGCGATCGCCAGCAAGTGCTGCGAGAGCGGGATCACTTTCAGGCTCGGGTGTGGGCATGTCCTTTGAAGTGGCGTATTCCGTGTGCTTATTGTCGGCTGTCTGGGCTGCAGGCATGAGGTGGGAAGTTTCCTGCTTGCCGTCATTAGGCTGAGACGGTTCCTTGGCGTCCACAGTGTCCTTAGGCGTAGTAACGATTTCAGGCTCTTTGTGAGACGTGGAAGCGACTCCAGCAACAACAGCACCAGCAGCTATGGCAGCTGCGGCACCAGCTCCAACAAGCTCAGGAGTCACAATCGAGTCTTTTTCTTCTGAGTCCTTGGCGGCCTCCACGGTGGGCTCGGGAGTGGCATCCTGAACTGGAGGAACAGGCTGAGCGGAAGGATCGATGTCTTTCTCAACCAAAGAGTCGCCATTAGAAGCAGGGATAGACTCTTCCACCTTGGGTTTCTCAGAGGCTACTGGTTCGGATTCAATCTTAGCGGCCTCCTCTTCACCAGTCAGAGATTGGTCTACCTCGCCACTGCTGCTGACCACACCATTGACCTCAGGTTCTGCTGCTGTCTCAGTGGAATCCTCCTTGACGGCCTCAGGCTCCGCTCCGTCGGTAGTCTCTTCAACCTCCTGAGCCTCGCTTTGCTTCTCAGTCACGGGTTCAATGGTGGGCTCAGCGACGGGCTCAGCGACGGGCTCAGCGACGGGCTCAGCAACGGGCTCAGCGACGGGCTCAGCGACGGGCTCAGCGACGGGCTCAGCAACGGGCTCAGCAACGGGCTCAGCAACGGGCTCAGCAACGGGCTCAGCAACGGGCTCAGCAACGGGCTCAGCAACGGGCTCAGCAACGGGCTCGACAGACTCGACGGGCTCAGTGGTGGGTTCGACGGCCGGCTCGGCAGCAGATTCAACCACCGGCTTAGCAGCCTCTGTCTCCTCTGTGTGCTTGGTCGCTTCTTCTGCGGCTGGCTCCTCAGCAACATCCTTGGTGGGGACCTGCTCTGCTGCGAGCTCCTCTTGTGGCTCGCTGACTGCGGGCTGTTCCGCGGGTTTCTCTTCTTCTTGGGATTCCTCGACCGTAGCCGAGGCTTCGACTTGCTTCTCCACAGCAGGCTCATCGGCCAACGGGCTAGGAGTAACCGCTTCAGTGGCCCGCTCCTGGACAGTTGGTGCCTCGGGAGTTGACTCCTGAGAGGGCTCTCCAGACACTACATTTTTAGGACTCTCATTCTTTGCAAGTTCATCAACAGCAGGGATAGCGGCAGCCACTTCGGTCACAGTAGCTTCTACCGGTGCAGTCTCCTCGACAACGCTATCAGTCACTGATTCCTTAGGAGCTTCCTTGTCGATGGACACATCTTCCTGCTGTTCTTCAGTCACTGCCACCTCGGCAACTTCATCTTGAGCAGGTGCCTGAGGGGTGGTTTCCTGTTCAGCAGGTTCAGTCACCTCACTGGTCTGCGGCTCTGAGACTGGATCCTCCGTTGCGGGCTTCGAAGAAACAACTTCCTCAACAGTAGAGGGTTCCTCTACCTTCACATCCTTAGAGGCTGCCTCTTCAGAAAGCTCCTTCTCAGAAGCTTCCTCCTGGGCAGCCGCGGTTTCGACGGGTTCTTCAGCAACCGGTGCCACCGCTTCGGATTCCGTCACTGTCTTCGGCTCAACGGCCTCCTCAACCGGGGCGGATTCAGGTGTCTCCACGGCACTTGGCTCTTCAATAGTCACTTCAGTGGCCTTGGTTTCTTCAGCAGTCTCGTCGCTGGTCTTGGTTTCCTGGGCGGCGGCGGCGGCCTCCTCAGTTGTAGCCTTCTCGGGACCGCAATCCTTGCAAAGAGTAGGCTCGTCGGCAGGCGATTCGAACTTCTCAGTAACGGCAACAGGTTCTTCAATTGCCTCCTTTACCTCAGATACTTCCGCAGGAACTGCTTCCTTGGTAGCCGCAGCTTCCGTGGACTCGTTGATAGTCACCTCTTCGCTAGCTTGCTCTCCGGTGGTCGCGATAGCTTCTAGAGCCGGTTCAACAGTGGCCGGCTCTTTAGCTGCAGCTTCGACCTCAGGAGATTCGCTCGCAGGTACAGTGGCCGTCTCGGGAACCGGTGCCTCTGTCGCCTCGGGAGCAGCAGGAGCCTCGTCCTTGGACTCAGCAGCCATTTCCTCGCTTGCTTCGACCTTGGACTCGTTTGCGGGTTCCTGGGTAACGGGGTGTTCCTCAACCTCTGGCTCTTCAGCCTTGGGCACTACCGCAGGCTTTTCACTCGAAGCAGCCTCTTCAGTGGCTGGAGTTTCAGCGGCAACTTCTGAGACTACTGGTTCGATCACTTCCGATGGCTTGGAAGACTCTTCAGCAACAGTCTCCTGAGTGACCGGCTTGTCCTCAGCCAGAGTTTCGGTCGCAGCGTTATCATGAACTTGTTCTTTGACGTCTGCTTCGGCAACAGCGGGTTCTGGTGCTGTTTCGGTTGCAGGCTCATCTTTGGCAGCCTCTTCTGGTGTGGCTTCCTTGGGAGGTTCCGCGGCAGGAAGAGTTTGATTCGGCGTTTCCTCGCTGACTGGGTCCTTAGCAGGCTCCCCTGCAGTAGTGGACTCTTCCGTTGAAGCTTCGAGCTCTGTGGCAGGTGTCCCCTCAACAGCAGCTTCTTTAGCTGCCTGTGGCTCAGGTTCCTCGGCAGCTACCACTGGAGTGGTCTCGTCCTTAGCTAGTTTCTCGGTCTCCTCGGTTGAGGCAGATTGAACGGCAGGCTCATCACTGACAAGCTCCTTGGTGGGTCCTTCGGTAGCGGTAGACACCTCTGTATGTGTCTCAGCCTCCTTGCCGGTGATTTCTTCTGCGGCTGCCAATTCGGTAGAGGATCCCTTTGTTGATTCTTCGGCCTGAGGCGCCTGGACTGCCAGATCATTGCTGATAGGCTCCTTGGCGGACTCTTGGGCAGCAGTAGGCTCTTCCGTTGGTACCTCAACCTCGTTGTTGATGGTTTCATCAGCTGCTGGCTCTTCCGTTGCCGGCGCCTCGGGCTCCTTGGCGGCCGTCACCTCCGCAGTAGGTGCGGAATCCTCTGTGGAAGCAATCTCAACAGAAGACTCGTCGACGACAGTCTCTTTAGCAGACTCTTCGGCGACGGCAGGTATTTCTGCGGATTTCGCCTCAGGCTCCTCTGCAGAAACTGCCTCGACCAGTGCCTCCTTAGCCTGTTCTTTGGCAACGACTGTCTCAGTTGCTTGTTCCTCCTGGATCGGTTCCTTGGTGGATTCTTCAACAGCTGGCTGCTCCTGAGCGTCAGGGGCTGTCTCTTCGACCTTCTCGGTCGTCGATGACTCCACGACAGGGATCTCTGCAGCAACTTCCTTCTTAGAATCTTCAGGAATCTCCTCAGGGGTGGAATCCTTGATCGGTTCCTCAACAGCAGTCTCATCGGTAGCCGAGTGCTCGACACCGGAAGCCTCGACTGGCTCATCGGTCGCCTTCTTCGCCTCGACAGACTCCTGTGCTGGCTGTTCTTCCACATTGTTGAGAGAGGGTGACTCGTCCTCGATGGTTGTTTGAAGCTTCTCTGCAGCGATAGGCCCCGCAGGCACTGTTTTCTCGGTGGATTCTTCGAGTGGCGCCTCATCAGTGGCTGTCTCTGTAGGGGCCGTCTCGGCATGTGTTGGTTCGGCTGAAGATGGCTCCACTGGGTTAGATTCCGCAACAGGCACTTCCTCCGTCTCCGTTTGCGCAGACGAAGTTTCTTCCTGAGACTTCTCAAAAGCAGACTCTGGTTCTTGTGATTCTTTAGCGGCTTCCGTCTTTTCTTCAACTGCAACAGGGACGATTTCAACAACTTGCGGCTTCTGATCCTCAGCCTTCTCAACCTCCTTTGCCTTAGGCTTCTCGGCTTCAACCGAAGTGCTGGGGATCTCTTCAGGCTTGTCTTCTTCGTCGTCTTTTGTAGTTGTCAAAGAAGCCTCAGCTGCCTTCTCTTCCACTGGCTCCGCCTTCTCCACAACAGCATCATCAGGTTGTGAACCAGGAATCTCTTCAGTAGAGTGTGTGCCGTTGGTCTTAGGTTCTGCGGCTGCGTTAGAGCCAGGTTCTGTTCCGACATCCTTCTGGATGCCGCTCTGGTTGGACGTCTCGGAAAGAGGCTCCGGCTTCACCTCCTGTGCTGTGGGTTCCGACTCAGCGTGGAGGTCTTTCTCAGCAACCACGAGGATATCAGTCTCCTTTGGCGCTTCAACCTTCACCGCCTCGGTCGTCGTTGTGGTTTGCACCTCGGCCTCTTTCGCAGTCTCCTCGACTTTCTCGCTGGTGCCATTCTCAAGAGGAGTTTCGGTTTCCTTCTCGACAGACTTAGCTTCTGCAGCAATGGGCGCCGCAGCGGGCGAACTCGAGGCAACACTGAGGATATTGTTGACGACGCCTTCGTCGTCAGCAGCTGCAATTACGAACATGGTCAGCTCCCAATCCAGAAATACTCGATACAGAGATAAGCTTCGTACCATGCTTCGCATCCTTATCGTGGAACCACGGTCCGTCAGAACCCTCCCTGAACCGATACTGGTATTGACCCTCGGGCAATTCAACATCCCGGGAGAAGAGGTATTCGGTCTTAGTGGAGTCCCCGTTCGCTTCCTTGTGCTCTACGGGTTTGGCGCTGAGCTCCAAGGGCTCCCACTTGGGATTCGAGAAGGTCCCCGCAACGTAGATGGCGGGGGTCTCCGTTGGACGACGGATGGAAATAGTGACGGTCTCTCCATTGGTGAGAGCCATTATGGTCATAAAGGTCGTAACAGTCGTAAGGTATCACAGACAAACAAAACAGGAAAAGAGATCAAATGCGAACAGGATCGGAGAACAAAGGTCTTTATCTAGTCGAGTCTCCAACGATTGAACAAAGTACCCCTCAAACAGGGAGAGATGAAATATTATACAGGAACGCGGTAGTTGGATCGGACAGAAACCTCTCAAAATGAACAATTAGACAGGGAGATGGGACGGTGGGAGGTTGTGAGAGGTATCGTCAGAGGGGTTGTAGGACCAAGCGTAGATTGGTCCGATAAGGGAGACTTAAGGTGGTAAAAAGACAGCGAAAACAAACAATCGAGGGGAGTCAGACGAGGAGATCAACTTGGGGAGACAGATGAATGAGAAGGAGCTAGGAGCCGGAGTGCAGGTGATTCACAAGGAAAAAAAAATATGCGGTACCCACGGAAGCCAAAGGACGGATGGAGTCGTCAAAGTGCAAGCTGTATGTCAAAGACGGTTAGAAGCCATCACGACTCGGGCATAGTGCCACAGAAAGTGGCATGGCTCTGGCCGTTAGTTACTTACTATGTAGTTAGTTAGCGGGGCAGCAGCAGTTGTCACAGTGATCAGGCCCCGCCCGTTATTTGGGTGCTGCCAGACTGAGCTAGCAGTGTTTCGAGGTGATTTAGATACCAGTCATGGAGCTGTAGCTACATAGAGTGGATAGCGGATAAGGAAGACACGGAATGAGAACATCTTAAATTGGATCCTGATTGACTTGGACTCCTTCAGAAATCGACTGCAGACATAGAGTCATCGCCAGCTTCAGTGAATGATGATGATACCCAAGGTAGCATGATTCTACATCCATACAAATTTTCCTAGGTACGTAGGTTACTGATAATTTTGCGCAGATCCTCAAGGTAGCGCTCTAGTGTAGGCTAAGCCATGAAGGCTCGCGACTGGCGCCAGAGCACAAAATGCGGTGAGTTGGCGGCTTTTCTGCTGCCAATCACATCCCAAGTATTTTCTTTTTTACATACTCAAAAGTAGAGAAGATCAAGTTGCTTTGTATCATTTCCTGCTTCTAGCTGTACTCTTGCCTGGTTCTCGGTCTCAGCAGACCTGCGCCAGAATTTCACTAAGGCATGTTGTGCACAATGATCGAGTCTAAGGAAAGAGAAATTTCTGCATTCAAGAAAAGGAGAGGCACGAGTGGATTCGGTATCAGCAAAATAATAGTGTGTGGCGCCATACAGTCCCATCTTTACTGCTAGTCATTTGGTAGGTACCCTCTCCGTTTATGCCGTCGCCCGTCATGTCATGAGATAATCTTATGTTATTATTTTATAAGTACTGTTCAAGAATGAAAGAATCCACTTATTATCCAAGGACCTTTGAAGTGAAGCAAGGAAAGATCTGATTTGACCAGTCCCTGAACTACCCTAAGGTACCCTACGATACTAAACCATGGTTCGCAGAAAGCAACTTCAGTAAGGTATATGCAATGCAGCACTAAAACAGGAAATCCTCGTCTCCCTCCAGACTCAGTCGCGATGAAAATACTTCATAGTATCCATATGCTCATATGGATAAAGGGGTGTCTTTGCGGGTCAAACCTAGAGCCAACATCATAGTCTCATAATCTACTTTCTCCTTTATCCTTGTTGCTATTTTTGCTTGTGGTCGTCGATGCTGTCCTGGTGGTGGATTTCTCACGAGCCATGGAACGCCTTCCTCGGTTATTTGTCCTACCGACAGTCTGTGTAGCCCTCTTATTCACAAGTAGCCGTGTAGAGTGGCTGACTCCGTACTCGACCACTCAAAGTGAGAGACTTTATATTTCTCTGGACAGTAGTGCCTATTGTCTGTCTGATAGATGACTCGTGACCTCCACGGCAATCCTGGTTGCTCTAGCGCTGTCGATCTTCGCGTACATGCTGCAGGTGTCGATATCTGGTAGAAAATAGTGTGCGGACTAAACAGAGAATGCAGCTCTTAAATAAGAATATAATACAAAGGTTGGCGTCTTCTGAAGATCAGTCGTCCATGTTAAGATATCATTTACGTCGGTCCTAAAGAGAAATGCAATTGCAGTCGTAACAGAAACCACGAATTGGGACTAACAAATATTTATTGGCACAGCGATGAGACATTCGATCATGCAAACCAGGTCGCCGGAATAACAGAAATCAATTACAAGAGATCTCAAACGCAGATGCATGCCTTTAACAGCTCATAAACCCTTGATCGGAAACCCGAGAAATCAACACAAAAACTGCAGCTGCAATCACATCAACAGAGCACAGGACGAAGGTATCTGAAAAGATATTGGAGAACGAAGAAAACAGGCCTTAACATCGTCAATATATCTCCAAATCCTCAAATTCCACCACCAACCCTTCCTCAGAGCCGGCTGTGGCGATGCTGCCCAGCATCGGACCATTCATCATCGCCCACATGGTGCTATTATGCGAGATATTGGCCGGCCGGCTAGCATACACACCCACGTGGACAAACTTGTCTTCTACCCCGTAGAAGAACCATGTCACTTCTCGTAGCTTCTTCCACGTGCTGCCCACAGCACCTGGTGTCCTTGCAAAGGGGGACAGGGTTGGAATCTGATACCAGACCACAAGTGAATGACCAACGCGCTCGAACTTGATCCGCAGAGAATGCACGGTCGTCGGTCCATTGTCAGGCAGACAGAGGGGCGAAACACACCAGTCAGCTCCGTCAGCCGTTGCACTAACTGAGGATGCGTTCACTGTCCCCGAGCAGAATTCCATGCCGGCTTTGACCCATTTGCACGGCCGCAGAGACCGGGATGTTTCGTGACGACTCAACGGTGTCACTGCTGATATTGGCACGTTCTCTGAGGAAAAGGATTGAGGTGCAGCTCCAGCGAAAACCACGATGCCCCCTTGATCGGATTCCATCTCCCAGTCCGCACTCACAGTGACTTCGGCAACTACGAACGGGTTTCGTAAAGAGGTAAAAACGATAGGCGCCGTAGCAGTGTCTCCGTTGGGCGGCTTGCGCCAGAGATCCGTGTTAGGACCGGCAGTCAGAGTAAAGTATTCCATGCACTCCGGTAGTGAGAACGTTGAGGGTAAATTCAACGTACTGAACGAAGAACCGTTAGGAGGCATTATGGGAGTCGCCTGGCTGGGCCAAATTTTTCCAAATTAGGGAATATTTGCCTTGTGAGCCTTTTACTCGCAGTCGAGCCTGTCTTCCTCAATGCAAGCGTCGAATTTTCTTTGGCAATTCCTGCGCAATATGAGTTTTGGAACAGCAATAGCCTGGAAGCCGTTCTGAATACAAGACAGTAGTGGGCAGGAAGTCACGAAGAGAGAGAAGGCAAAGGATAATCAGGTTATGGTGAAAAAAGAGTTCTAGTCACGGCGAGAAGCAAGGGAGTTATACTTCTCTCTCCAGAGTCTACGGGATCACCCCATGCCGCGATTTGATGCGGGTCAAGGATCCCAGGAGTATAATGTGAAGGTGAAGATCAAGACCAGTGGTGAACACAGAGTGCAGACTTACCCAGTCTGGGGGCAATGAAGCAATCAAGCTAAGAAAATGTAAAGAGACACTTCAAAGAAAAATCAAGTTGGACTAAACAGGCCTCTCAGATGTCGGACGATTGAAGGCGAAATTCTGAGATTGTGTACTCGACAGCACGATACAACTGGCGGCAAGGAGTCAGAATCCAACGCAAAGATGAACCTCAAGTTCTCAAGAGTAACCTTGATTCGCAGCGCGATGTTGTGAGAGGGGCGCGCCAATTCAGTCACTCTATTAGCAGATGATGGATGTTAACAAAGGTCCAAAGCGAGTCATCAAAACGCGAAATGCCGAGAATAGCCAACTTATAGTGTCGCGGGAGATGCCATCTTTCTCGCCCCCTTTAACTGGGTACAAGAAACCATTGCTTTGTTGGTCCCGACATGTCGGGTCTCTAGCTTCCAGCACTTCTTGCTCCCGTTCAGTCCTCAGATTTTGATACAAACTCCAGTGCGAGGGTTCTGTAGATGGTGATTTGCCATTCATGTGTAGTTCTGCCGGCCAGTTGCTGCAACGCAATTCACAATTGGCGGGTCCAGCTGCAGTTTTTGGGACAACAAACAGCGGCAGGTTTACGCAAGTGATAAGTTGTGGGGTGAACGGTCCGATCCCGAACAGCTGAAAAAGTAAAACAGCAAGGGAGTGGTCTAGTTTATGGACCTTATGGCACAAGCTGAGAGAAGAGAAGGAAATCTAGTGGTAGGGTTTGTCAAGTGTGGAGGGTGTTTAGTTCCTATTTATTTGTTTTCGCCACTGCCAACACAACCCTCTGCCACTCGGAGTTGGCGATATATCGTGCCCATCTGCTCAGAGCTGAAGTCAGACTGATCTTACGCCACACTTGACTCAACCATTCTAAGTTCTATCTTGTCATCGCCATCACTGAAGCACAGCCATTGCCAAGGGAACACTTTTTGTGGCTAATCCTGCACACTTACATCTCTTCTTCTAGGGACATGCTTGTGAGTGAGCAATGAAGCATTTACCCACAAGGAGCGGATCCGTCTATCCATCGGAGTCCTCGTTGGTGTCCAGCCTTTGAAAATTTACCTGTGTGTCCTCCTCAACCTGTCAGAGGCTTGCTTGTCTCGGTTGCTCTCAGCAGACAAATGAGCACTCGGAGCACAACGGCTGCCTGGGTTCGATTTGCGCAGAAATAGCGACTAACGGCCTTCTGTTTATCTACATCATTTTTGCAATGTACAGCAACACATCCAGGCCGCTTCAACTAATAAGCATGCTACCTGATCTATTCAGCCTCTCAGACGCGATCCAGAAAACAGCGCTTAACGAACATGGGGTGCGCGCATACTGAAGCTTTGATGTTCTCTAGAGCACGTGCAGTCAGATTCAAAGAGACAGGGGGTTAATCCTTGAAATTCATTGACTTGTTGCGAGGCAGGCACGACATTTCATGGCCAACCAGCGGTTCGACGCTCCTGGCGGATATATATCGCTACAGCAGAAACTGGTCCCCTAGCACTGTTAACAAAGGGACTAGACTACATGCGGATCTCTTGGAGTACTTGTGCAGGGGCTTCTTAGAATGTAGCAATAGATTGTCCATGGACATAGAGCAGTATCGGCTCGGGTTCGAGTACAGCCTTATTCGATACACTACTCAGGAATTGACAATTCTTGCATGCCGCTCAATTAATAACAGCTTGGGACTCCAAATATGACGGTCGTCCCTAGTGGATCCTGAATTGGTGGTTTATATTCCAGGGTGAAAACTTTAAGCTAGCCAGTAAAAGCCTCATGAGGAAGATTGAGATAGGTGGTTCTCGGAGAACGATAGAGGTTCAAGAGGTAATTGAAGTCAACTTATACTGGACGATAGCATCAACCAGTTCTCCCATTTGGTTCTCATATTAGCAACAGCGATTATTGGACTCATTGGTGACCAGCGTGTCTGGCAATGAGTTGTCTGACCCTTAACTCCTAGAGCCTACTATCCGCCAAGCCAAGCCAGAAAAAAAGAAAAAGGTTAATTCAGAAATTACTTGTTAAATTTGGCCAAAGACGTCCATAAAGTCGCTAAACTACACCCGAATGAACCCAAGCGTGATTGTGTTGAGGTGCGATCTTCGTATTTTCTCCCTCTTGCTCTCCACGGCCCAATAAACAGTTGTGCTGAGCCCCCAGCACCTCGTATCCCCAAGGCTGAGCCTCCAGCTGTTGATCATGCTGGTCAGTAACAGACACAATCGCAAGCCACAAACCAGCATACTTTTTGAGCCCAACTCCTATCTGGACACTTGAAAATGAGGCACCGTCGCTGTTTCTGTGCAGCCTCCTCTAGCAATCGCCCACAACCTGACCTTGCGCGGTCCTCCTCAAAAGAGAGCTTGTCTCGAAACTCATAATGTTGCTACCACGAAAGTCTAGGGGCGGGCACTCGTCCGGTGGTTATTCCTCCTCCAGCAGTGACAACTCGCCATGGAACCAAGAAGTTACATTCTCGATGGACAGCCTCTATCTACGCAGATCGTACTTCATTGCGCAACTTGCTTTCGAGTTCCTCACATTGGGGGTGCTGTTTCTCTTCCTTTTTGGCTGTTTCTTCATCAGACAGCCTAAGGCGCTGCCCAAGACCCTCCCTAAGAAGGGTCTCGTCTTCGGGATATTGAGCTATATCCTGTGAGTAGAATAACCGATCCTCTGTCGCACAAGAAGATAAATCAAGAAGACGAGCCTAAGTTCTAACTTTCTCCTCTAGCGCCGAGCTCCTTACAATTGCTTACATGTTCTTCTATATTTGCGAGGTCACAGTGAAGCAGAGCTATGTGGTCATGTTAATGCTCCAAACGATATTCTGGCTTCTCGCGCTTTTTCTCATGTTCTACGTCTTCTACCGAGTCATCCAAGCATATCTCAACCGAATTGGGAACGGCGGAAAGACATTCCTTCCCGTGTCCATACTGCACTGGGTTCTCCTGGGTGTCTTAGGGATTCTCATGGTGGTCAATGCTGCCATGTACATTGCTCTGCTCGTCATGGAAGTGAACGGAAGCTCCCAGTGGCAAATAATCGGACACTACAACAGGATTGTTGAGGCTCGCATCATCGTCTCATGGCTGATGTCTCTGGAGATTCTCGTGTGGACAATCTTCATCATTGCGAAGTCGAGGTTCAGCAGCAAGGTATGCGCCAACTTGTCATCTAACCTTGTGTCTGTTCGCTAATACCCTTTGATCAGACCGGATCTATAACCCTTGCTTTAGCGGGCTTCTTCCTCTTTGTGTTTTCCCTCGAGCAGCTGATCGTGACAATTATGTACAATTTCGAAGGAAAGATGCCGCCGCGGTATTTGAGCTTAGCCACCTCAATCGTCTCCTTCTTCTGCACGATCGGCATATACTTCGGCCTCATCTTCTGCGGTATCCAATGGTGCAAGGCCAGCAAGATCTATTCTCAAGGGCATGCTCAACACACCCAGCATGCCCCGTATGCTCAGCATGGCCAGCACGCTCAGCCTCCTCCTCCCCCTCCAGCCCCTTACGCTCCCATGTCCTCATACCAACCATATCAACCGCCGTCACCACAGCCCCCTAGCCATTCAGCACATTCCGGCTACTCGAGCCCTGTGAATGGTGGCTTGAGCCCCGTGAATGGCTACTCGAACCCCGTCAACAGCAATGGACAATTTTCTCCAGCCGAACTTCACAGTGAGAACGATGCTGGATCGCATGAGCTCCCATCTAACCAACGATACCAACACCATCCTCACGCATGAAAGGAGGAATATTAATAAGATCACTTGTCTTTTCTCGGGAGAGCAACTTTCCTATCCTGTTTTGATGATACCATTTGCGTTGGATATTTCTCGGTTTGAGTTTTCGGCCCTCTAACAATACTTATTGAGCGATGAGTCCGAATACCCTGTCTCAACTTCTTTATTATTGACGAAACATACGCTATACATATAATATAACCAGCTATTTAAACAAGAGTAATCTTAAAACCTTCGCATTCTCAATAACATTGTATGGCAGTACAGCAGTCCGCACAGACCAACCCCGCAGGGTGCATTATAAACCAGTGCCACCCACCACGTCTCCACCCTGACATCAAACCCAAATAAGCGCAACCCAACCTCGATGGACTCTTCAAGCGGCAAGATCAACCCTCAGAAACTCAACAACCACGAACACAAAACAGGAAACGCAAAATAAAAAGCCATGGTCTGCGCAAAATGCCAAAAGAAACTCAAGTCCACGGAGCTGGCCACCCCAGGCGTCAAACGCAAGAGTGAAATGTATTATGGCTCGCCGGCGACGACTCTAGGCGGTGGTGGCGGAGCAGGAGCTGGCCCTGCTACGAAATCAAAACCCACGTTGGGGAATACCGGTATCGGAAAGGTATGTTCTGTTCTGTTCTGCTCTGTTGTCCTTGGTCCCCTTTTTGATATTATCAAAGTGATCCAGACTAATGATGCATAGAGTAAACTGCTCAGCTCCAAGGCCAAGAATCCATATGCGGCGTACTCGTCGTCTTGTGAGCTGTGCAAGACCAAGACGGAGCAGGGGCGGAAGTATTGTCAGCGGTGTGCCTATCAGAAGAATGGTAAGATATTTATCTTTGGTTTCCTGGTTTGGTCTGTGGGTGAAGCAGTTGCTGATGTGACCGATAGCTTGTCCGATGTGTGGGAAGAGTTTGGCTGGGAAGACTGCAAAGGACCAGCCGGTGGTCCAGGGGCAGAAGTTCAACTTGAAGTGATTCAGTTGTATTAGGTGTTTTGGGTCTCCATTTTTCAGCTTGGTTTACTGTGGTTTCATTGGGATAGAATATTAGGCGTGGCGTTTGGGACTATTCTACTGATACTCCAAAAGAACTCAGATAATGAAGTTGGGACAATAATTGAGAAATCAGAAAGCTAGTTATACATTTCATACTACAGCAGTATATGCAATCCGGTGACCTATAAGTGGAAATGGTCAACACTCGACCCAAAGGACATACTCCGCGCAACAGCTCTATCGATACAAATCTTCCTCCACTCAAGCCAACGATAAAGAGTATCATAAATGCGACAGACGAAACTCTCTGTCCTTCGAACCTAGGCATTTACCGCTCAGCCAGCATGTTCTTGATGTTGCTGTAGTACTGGGGGAGCACGAATTTGGCAATCTCCTCCTTAGCCAGCCACTTGAAGTCCTGGAGATTCTGCACGTTGGAGGACAGGTCGGCCTGTCCAGCCATGATACGACCCTTCATGAAGAATGTCTTCTCGCCGAACCATTGTTGGCCAGTTGCGGGGTCGGTCTTGGGGTGTCGGAAGTTGTAAACATGGTGGCCAACAGGGTGATAGCCCACCATCCAGGTGTTCATGTTCACACCAGCAGATTGTTCCAGGGTACGTTCGGCGGCCTGTCCAGACGATCAATTAGTATGCCAGACGGCCATGCGCTCGATTACAAGCACTACTCACCACGCGAAGGGACTCCCCTGTCTCGACCGGCGAACTGGGGAGTTTCCAGAATCCCTCCTTGGTCTGGACAAGAAGATAGAGGGTTCTCGGCAGAGCCCGGTTCAGGCTCTTCTGGTCGTTCTTCTGGTCCGCCTCCGTCACGCGGGGGAACGGTCTGGGAATTTCCTCCTTCTTGCTGGTATCTTGAGAAGTGGCATTCACAGTAGCCTCTGCATCCTGCACAAGCATCTCAATCTGATGATCTGGTTCGGACTCAACAGCCCCGACCAGCAATTCGTCGTTCCATGCTTCCTGCGAGTACGCGTTATACTTGCCGATATCGCGTGCAGGCGTTTGACGCTCCCGAATCTTACGCTTCCAGTCCTCATCAGCCGGAGTACCCCGCTTGAAATAGAAGTATTTTGTGAATGGGAGTGCCAGTCGCTCGTTCAGCCGCTTCTGGTAGAAGAAGTACGCCTTTTCGAACGGTGTGAGATCGCGGGTGATCTGCGGAGGACGCGATAGGACCACGCCGGCCTTAATGATGTGTGTAGGTTTGACGACGGGAAATGTAGAGGCGGTAGTTGAAGCGGTTTCTGAAGCCGAACTAGGCGCAGCAGTGGAGGCGTAATTGCGGCGAACGAGAGTCTCTTGACAGCTTCTGCAGACTCGGGAGTCGACTGTTGAAGGCCCTGAGAAGATGTCAGAAAACGACCTAGACCAAGTACAGAAAAGTTGATTATTGCGTACTCAATACAGACGCTATGCGCCTGGCGCCATTGGGTCCTGAAGACATTTTACAATGCAGCAACTGGACTCTGTCCTCGTCAACACAGTCCGTCCCCGATAATTGTTAAAGAAAAGTTGGCGGTCACCTGTCTGCCGCCGAACCGCGCTAGTCCTGCACGGGTTAGAATATCAGGTGACCTAAGCCTTTTTCTTTCTCAGTTTTCGTCTCCCGTGTCTTCTGTTTCTTTCTTTTCTCTCACAGCACCTTTTCCTTATCGTCAACTGTGTTATGATTCTTCTACAACCAGTCGATCATTTAGCGGTGCTCAGAGAGAGTAGGCGGCACTTTTCGCTAGCGGTACCTTCTTTGATTCAAGGTGTACTGTTAGATAGACGCTGCGTACATTCTGCTACACTGCCGACCTTGGGACATTGTAATCGAATATGCTTTGGTCTTGAATGGCGCCCTTGCGGTCGTTCGGGTTTCTAATCGATTGACATATCTATGTACAATCAAGAGAGCTTTGGGCTATGCGTAGTTGGGCCGTTGTACCGGTGCCTGGAATTCACGACGCACCCATCACGCAAACTCTTTCCAGTGTGCCAAAGACTCGTAACTTGTTCCCGTATACTTTCCAGAAATCGGCTCCCAGCCTAGGGATGAGCTCGCCATTGGCAGCTTTCTGCATGACCTCGACAGATTCGGTAGGGCCCAATGACAATCTACGGTCATCAATAGGTATATTACTGTCGACTTCATCAATGGCCTCTTCAATTTCTAGTAGATCAAATCTTGTCCCGAGGACTCCGGTCGTTGGCGCTTTGGGAGATCCTATGCTGCTTGGTCTTGACTTCTGCTCAAAAGCCTTCTTTGCGTTTCCAGGTATTGTTTGCAATCTGCCCTCAACATAGGCCTCAGATGCAACATCCTGATACGTTTGCTGGAAGTTCGAGGTGACTCGAACATCTTTGGTGGACTTCTGTTGCGGTAGATCTACCCCTCCGTCACGGAGCTGAGCAGACAGCCTGATAAAAACTTGGGCAGTGAGCAAGCTATCGTAGCCTGCTTCATGTTCAATCTTCCGAGTAATATACTTGGAATGTTGCGGGTGTATGCCTGTTATCTCTCTTAGCCATCAATTCAAGCGGACGATCAAGAAAGTCATGCGCACTGATTTTCGGAATTGCTTTCTTAGCCAACTTTTCGTTGAGCTCTGAGAGCGATGACCTGGGATTGATAGACCCGCAGTTATGTGTGGCCATATATTTGGTGTCCATCAAGACAGGGAACAATTCGTGCGCCATCGACTGGAAATCTTCCACTTTGCTTGGAAGAGGCCCAAAAAAGCAACGGCAAAAGTAGATAAGATCTGAGAAAAGGTTATGGCCAACAAGAACAGGCCGATGCTCTTTCAATCGCTGCTTGAGTGTGTCTGAGAACTCCTTGAGAGGGTATTTGGATTCTACAGCGGCGGAACTCGCCATGATACCAATGAAGTAGCCGGAATCAAGATTGGTAAGATCTCCTCCAGCTAGAGCTTCAGCTACCCATCTAAAACCTGTCTGCTTCCAGGTCCGCTCCTGGACCCTCATCACTCTTTGCTCGCGGACGGATCTCTCACGTTCCTCGTTGTAATTGATGATTTGGATGAAATCGGGTTTGCTGATTGTCACCAATGAAGGATATTCCACCTCGATCAACTGGTGAACGAGCCTTTTTTGAAATCTGTTCAAGGCCGAGGGCAGAGATCTGGATGACTGAGAAACGCCAAGGCGAGTTGGCGGTGGGATGTTCAGGTACTCTTCGCGAGTCTGGCACAATGATTAGCTTCCTCAAGGACCCCAGTGATGGCTCGTCTTACCGCTCCCAGTGCGAGCCAGTCATCTACGAGACGGCGAACTGCTTTAAGGAAAGCTAATGACTCATGTTCAGTCTCTTTAACGTCAATCGAAGTGTGTACTGCAACGCGATCACGTCTTTCGATGGCTTTGGCAATAGCTTGTTCCTCTTCCTTTCGAGACAGGTATTGGACACCCTGTTTCAAGATGGAGTCGATGCTGAATTTGTTCTCGAGTAGGAACTCAATAGCTGTGCGGATTATGTTCAGGTTTCTATGTGTGTAACTAAGGCGGCAATCAACTGGACGTACCGCTGCTTTGCATGGACCAGTGTCTCTCCATCTCTAGTCTCCGGTCGATAATCGGATTCAAGTTTATGTTGTATGGTTTCAAAGTGTACGAAGCTGTCGAGGGTCCAAGTCAATAGGCAAGACCCACAATGAAGAGTAAGAACTATAGGTCTGACCATTCTCGGTATTCTCGTGACAGATTGTCAGCCCGACCTGTAAGATCTGATATTTATCGGCTGAGCTTTTCACTTCTTCGTAGCGAGCCTGGAGGGTCTGGGATCCCCTGTTTGGGTTCGAAGAAGTAGTAGCAATTCCAGAAAATTCGAAGTCCATGGATACAAAGCAGCATGTTGCCAGATCGTCCAGGATCCGGGGAAGATGATAAGGGAATGATTGAGCTGTTACATCCATTTTCTCGGTGGTGGACTGAGCTTCTGGACTGGCCTATACGAACTCGAGAGCTGAGAGAGATGAAAACAAGCAGAACAATGAAAGGAGTTCAACTAGAAAGAAGGGAATGTTCCAGGACCAAGTGATGCATATATCCAACTGGTTTTAATCTGAATGTTGATCCAAGCTAGCAAGTGGGTAGACGAGTGAAGTAGCGCTTGTCCCGATCGACAGGTACTGAAGCAAGTCTCGTGAGCTCCGCGTAATTCACCATCAGTTAGTTCTCGCTCAGATATGTTCGATCCCGCAGCGACGGTTGAGTACTTTTTCTACAGTCGCAATGTTTGAAAACAACCAGTCTCCTGATGCTTAGTTTGATAATTAAGATCATGATAGACTGCTCTGTACTACTCTGTAGTCTCTGGTGACGGTGAATAGCTGGATGCGGTATAGCGTGCCTGATCTGGTTAAGCGCTTTACGGAGTACGGATATGTGAGCACAGATGCAGTTATAGCCTATAGGAATCCAAACTAAGATATATTGGGTATAGTTTAATCTAATCGCATAAGGCAGTGATGTGTAGCGTGGAAAGGTCACGTTTCTTCATCAAAACCCACGCACAACCATGGTCTTTCCACCTTCAGGCACGGTTACTCCGTATTTACGAATCCGCATCACGTGACATTAGCCAGACCCCAGACTGAGGCAATGGCCGAGCCGAGGGAAAGCAGTTGACCCCAGCTCTTGGACTCAATCGGAGTCCAGCGACTAACAACTACACACTCACAAGCTCTATGCATCCTTGCGACAGCTTCAATTTATGATATTTACCCGACTTATCACTTCTGCCACAATTGTTGAAACTTCTCACAATTTACTATCCATTCCTTCCGACTTCACATTGGATTCTTTCTCGCTGATCGCATTCTCCGCTGGCGGTGAACAATGGCCGAAGATGGATCGTACATGACGACGACGTCTCAGTCGCAACTTTCATCCTCCACCTCGTCTCTTTCTCCCTCGAAGCTGTGTTCAAAGACCTATAAGAATGCTCGGGAACTCTTTCTGACACGACGGTTGCCAGAGGCCTTGGCCGCTCTTGAACCTGCCGTAAATGTTCCGCAAACTCATGACGAGCGGTATGTTAACGGTGACGACTCAACGCCGCCTATCGCGTCGGCTCAAGGTACTTGGAGAATCAAAATATGGAATTTATATATCACTCTCTTGAGTTCCATTGTCGACTTGGGGCCTGAGGAAGGGAAAAATCAATTTGGTCAGAAGAAGTGGAAGTCCATCTCGTCTCAGGTGCGCGATGGGCAAATTTGGGAGACTGTAGTTCAGACTGGCTACAGAGGGTTGGAGGGGTCTGTCGATGCGGAGGTCGTTTATAATTTGTCCGTTAAGCTTCTGCCTCCACCAATTATCTCCTGCTCTGACACTGACTACTATGTCTAACAGAGCCACCCTCTTGTTGAATCACTCTGCTTCCCAAGCTTTGAACCAGCAACGACTTGAAACCTACCTGTCCTCATACGGCCAACCCAACCTGGACATCGCAGAGCATCTGCGCAATTCTCCGTCTCACCATTCTCATTCCAGACCGAGTGGCGGCACGGACACTCCGAAAGATTTGGCAGCGCGGGTTAAGATCATTGAGCTCTTCACACTTCACGTTCTTCCCCGCAATGAGGAATGGGACTATGCCAGGGAGTTCATCAATATGAGCGAGGTCCTGGACGAGGAAAGAAAAGATGTCTTTCTACAGACCCTTGAGGGAATTAAAGAAGAAAAGGAACAGGGAGAACTGCGCGCAGCGGCGCTCCAGCGTGAGAAAGACGCTGAATTGGAGCGACAAATGCGCGAGGAAGAGCGTCGGCGAGCGGAAGAAGCAGCAGTAGCCGAACGCTTGGAGCAAAAGAATCACCGACGCAACAATACCAAGGTAGATTCTGGTATCGAAAAGGCCCGACCCAACGGCACTTCGAAAGCCAAAGTGGGAAAGCCCACGGACAAAACGTCTGGTACCAAGTCAACTTCTTCAGGACGCACTGCGTTCTCGCCTCCTGCGCCGTCGAAAAATGTCAAGAAGACTGACAAGCCGGCCAGATCAAATCGAGCTTTGGCAAATGTGCTGCGCAATATTCTACAGTACATCTCAAAGACCGTTGCTGGCAATCCTCTGTCAATAGCTCGCACACTCTTATTCATGCTAGGCATTATCGTGGCGCTAAGCAGGCAGAACATCCGCGAGAAGATTCGGAGAATCACGGGCTCGGGATGGCAGAAGATCAAGGGCACTGTGGGGATGGGAGTGAAGGTGAGCTATATTTGACGTGGTGTCAGATTTTATCACAACTCCCTTGCTTCTCTCCTGCTTGCAGTGGCCCTCTGCATTATGCATGACATGTTCGAAACATCTGGCTTGCCTTTCGCTGGACCCCCATGTCAGTCCGCTGTTCATTATGTTATATAAGGTTTCTTCCGTTTGTAAATGTATGCATCGATCTCTGTGAAAGGCGGAGAAGGAATTTCTGATAAACAATCTGGATATGGTCTTTTCATCTTATCAAACAAGCGAACTTGATCACTCTAATCATGGACTGTCTTGCATCTACCCACGCCCTTTCGGTCCGGTGGTAAGTCCGCAAGTGAAAGCACCATTCTGGAGGAACTAACGTGGTCACTCGTTGTCTCGACATCCTGTTTCTTGTTTAGATTCTTATGCCACCTTTGCAGGATATGAACAAAAAAGTGTGCTATACAGATCTGTTCCGTCGTATACAGCAACACAGGCACCGAGGTCCTTGCCTTGGTGTACAGGTCAACTGGGGCCCACATGGCATACAACAGGGGAATTCCCAGCGCGGTGCTCTTTGCGGGACCACAGAAACATACTGCGATTGTCTCCTCGGGGGTTATGCGCTTGAATATGCGTTGCATGCCGAACCTATTGACCGACAGTACTTCCGGTGGCCGTGAAAGAACAAAACATACGCCAGTGAGGGCAATGTACAGAGCGATGTTGAAGAAGACCACGAACAGGACACTTTGCACGGAAAGAGTTTGAAGTGCTCCGGTGGCGAAGCAAGAGGAGAATGTCATCCTGCCATGGTTATCCAAGTCAGATATTTCGGTTCGATTGGGGGCATGATCATGATAATTACCAAACAATCAGCAGCAAACAAGCGGATCCAAGCTTCGAGATACGATACGTCTGCATCACTCGTTCCGTCTGCTCCGGCCAGGCCCAACGCACCAGCTGTCCTACTACCAGGGGCAAAAGTGCACTAAGGCCTAACTGTCTGAATACATCCTTGTACATCTCACTTAGATCTCCGCTTGCCTGCCTCCACGGATCGAATTCAGCGGTACCGGGCAGCAAGGTGACAGTCCAACCGGCCGTGATGAAAGGACCTAGGAAATTGGCGATGACGACCTCAACCAGAGCAGCTGCATCATCGCCACCGGCCGATCGGGTCATCACGACATTCGAAGCGATAGTAGTCGGTATACAAGCGGTGAAGATATAGCCCGCCAGCACGGCCCGGTCGATACGGCCATGCGAATCTCCAGCCAATATGATATGAACAACCGCAAGTGTAAGCGCGGGAATGAAAATGAATGAGAAGACCTGGACAAGGAAGTGAAGACGCCAGTTGAGAAGATGCGTAAACAATTTGTGGTTTGGGATGCTCAGACCCGACGTGAGGAAGATGATGGCCATCGCCCCGTACAGGATGCTGTATTCAGCTCTGATGACGCCGCCATGCTTGGCTACGTTGGGAAAATAGTATGCCAAAACACAGGCGACACCGATACCTATGAGCATCCATTGGTGGAGAAGGAAAATTACAATGGTTTTGCAGATGTACTTCGAGCGCCGTGCCTTCAACAGATGCCGCCGCTCTGAACTGTCATTTTCGGCTATGCCGTGGTTCATCGCAATGTTGTTAGATCGAACACAAATTCACAGTTCCTTCTGTGGTATCACAGTGCTGTAGGGCATACAGGCAAGCCAAAATTTAAATGAGAGATGCTTCTTTGCTTCATGTTTACCGTGAGTCCCTTTTGCGGAAGGCCAATTCACGGGGCAAAAGACGGAAATCGGATCAAATCCGATGATCCTTGATAAAAGATAATAGCTAGTGTGGGGTAAAGATGTTGCTTTAGATCAGGCTGAACTAATTCCTGATACCGATAGTAATTGTTTTTCGCCAGGAACAGAGGCTGTACACATGTCGATTTGGATCTATTTTCTTGTGCACGGTTGCCCTCAGTTCTTATCTCCTTACAGGATCTCTAACTCTCTATATATAACCAGATGTACAGTATTCACCAAAGATCAACATATCTGTTTCGGGGCACGCATATAAGAGGCCCATAGCGCGATAAGGCAATGGTACGCATGACCATATACCAGAAACCATACTGTATTTTCACATGAAGAGTCTGCACCACTCTTGTAGTTGTATACTACGGCGCAGTTCAGAGTCGAGCAGTGCTAGTATACAGAGTACAAGTACAAAACGACTAACAAAGACACAAAATCTCCAGAGTATGGTGTCCCGACACCCTACAATCCTGACTGCGATTCTTCCGCAGTGCCTACCAGTACCAGGGATACTATCAATAGGTCGCGCTCTGGATATGTGGTTATGAGCAGGGATAAACTATAAACCGTGGAAATACTATCAAGCGTGGGGAGTACGGAATATCGGTTTCTCCCTGAGGTAGAAGAACGAATATGTTTGAAGACCTGATGTCTTTGACACTATTTGACTATTTATCAGAAAATCTATCTTCCTCAGTCGTAATAATAGCTAAGTGCTGTCAAGGCACGCATCGATCTCAGTCTCTATATGGGGTAGGTTGTCCGAATCGGGAAAAAGCCTCGGCTGAGTGTTCGAAGGGCTTAGCCGGAAATTTCCGTATAACTGGGTAATGGATTCTTAAGGTAAACACCTAATGGAGAATAAAGGAGGTGTTTCTGGAACAAAAGAATGCACGAGACTTATCCTGACTCAGTGAGGATAAGCATGGAATCACAAGCACTCAGATCATGCGTAATGACGATGATGCTCGATCGTGTCGCTCTAAGCATGTGAAGACTAATTCTCCAACATCATTGGTGCTTGCACTTGGCAGAAACTCAAGCCATATGGCAATTCTGAGTGTTGTGATCTAAGGGACTACCAAGGGACTACGGCGGAGTAAAGGCAGGTTCCGGGCATGGACAGTAGCTTTGGCCATGTCCCGATGCCTCGGGATGATGCTATGAAAGACACCCCAGTAGATCTCCTGCAATAACCGCTGCAAGCATGAGCAAACTTTCCTTAGATTGATAGACAAAGCTCGAGAAATATAAGTCAGTCGCAGTACACATCGCTGAATCGACAACCCAGTTCTTCTATCTCTATTCTTCTACAGCTTCGGCTACCCTTCAGCTCTTCATTGCGGGCGGCGGCATCTCTTCCGCTCGTCCAGAAGAGCTTCCTCCGCTTCCCCGTCATAGCTTCCCCACGGCCCCGACTGAGGAGAATAAAATAGACAGAACAAAGTAACAAAGCCGCCACTGATCCCGAGACATTGAGCAATTCCCCATTCCCGAAAATTGATCACATTTGTTTCAATAAGCGGGTGACCCCAGAGTGTCCCAGCAATCTAAATACCAGCTCTGATTTGAGCCGAGGGAACTCCATACTTCCGTAACTCCCCGGATTTCTTGCGCACCTGTGAAGATCCGATATCGTCGCTTTCTTGGTGCCTTTAATTCTATATTGGGCCAATTGAGTCACACTTTGTTCTTTTTTTTAACCTCCTTTCCTCCCTCTCTTCCAAATTCTCGTCATTCTTCCCGTTTAGTCACCGAGGACAATCACCGCTGTCAGCCATCGTCATAGAAGGAAGCTAGAACCTCAATTGACAGAAAGAAGAGAAAACCGCATAATCGCGTTGCACAAACCTAGTCATTCACCATGGCCGCCAAATCTGTGGAGGGAAACAAGGGCAAAAAGCCCCCTTCCGCGGCTGTGAACTTGATCGGTAAGATGACGCTTTTGGGGTGCGGGGACATTTCGCTGGCATTGATGCTAACATACGACACAGCTGGTGGTGGTGCCGGTATGATGGAGGCACTCGTCTGCCACCCTCTTGGTATGACTATAATTCAATGGTATCGGGTCTTTCAAAACCATGCTAACAATCTCCCAGACACCATCAAAGTCAGAATGCAGCTCTCGCGACGGGCTAGAGCCCCCGGAGTAAGTTAAGCCGCGGGCATTACTCAGTTGTGCGGCCACTGATAATTCATTGCTTGGACAGGCAAAACCTCGTGGATTCATCACCACCGGTGTCGAGATCGTGAAGAAGGAGACTGCCCTGGGATTGTATAAGGGTCTGGGAGCTGTTCTGGGCGGTATCATCCCGAAGATGGCTATTCGTTTCACTTCCTATGAGTGGTACAAGCAGATGCTCGCAAATAAGGAGACTGGTGCAGTTACCAGCAAGGCCACCTTCCTTGGTACGTGATCAATGCCTTCCTCGGTCAGTGTGTCTTTAGCTGGGTATGAACTGACATCTCGAACCAGCTGGTCTTGCTGCTGGTGTGACCGAAGCTGTCGCTGTGGTAAATCCCATGGAAGTCATTAAAATTCGTTTACAAGCGCAGCATCACAGTCTGGCGGACCCTCTGGATACCCCCAAGTACCGCAGCGCACCCCATGCACTATTCACAGTGATCCGGGAAGAAGGATTCAGCACTTTATACCGCGGTGTCTCCCTGACAGCTCTTCGCCAGGGTACCAACCAAGCTGCCAACTTCACCGCATATACCGAGCTGAAGGCCTTCCTTCAAAGAGTCCAGCCCGAGTACAGTAACACGCAGCTTCCCTCATATCAGACAACGGTCATCGGATTGATCTCCGGTGCCGTCGGTCCCTTCTCAAACGCCCCCATTGACACCATCAAGACCAGACTCCAGAAGACCCGCGCCGAACCTGGCCAGTCCGCCGTCAGCCGAATCATGGTCATTGCCAAGGACATGTTCAAGCAGGAGGGTGCACGCGCTTTCTACAAGGGTATCACTCCTCGTGTGATGAGAGTTGCTCCTGGTCAGGCTGTCACTTTCACAGTATACGAGTTCCTCAAGGGCAAACTCGAAGAGTCAAACTGGGCTTTCGTGGGTGGCAAATATGAGGAATAAGTACGGTTGTCTTCAACTGAGGTGGATGGAGAACGGCCGCTGCGTGTTTTCGAAAGCATTTGATACCATGAGCATCGTGGCGTTTTCGATTGCATTGCGATCTCACTGCATTATTTCTGGATTATTAGCTTCGAATTGATGGTGGCGCTCGCACTCTGGGCTTGTTGGTTATCGGTGAAGCCTGTCGATTTGAAAACAACACAGTTGACTTGTATATAAACTTTCTTTTCTTTGTCTTTGTTCTTGCCATTTGTTAGTATACCAATTTCTTTGACATTCTGGATAGAATCAGAAATCTGAAAGATAACAGATGATGTCTATCGCGCAGATGGCCAGATGCCAATGGATAAGCAACTAGAGACATATCTGCGACTTGTTCAAGAACGCCTTGGAGAACAGTAACTCTCTCTCACTCTAGCCACTTTTGGCAATCGGGTTACCCCGCTAAACACCTCCAACTACACCGCTTCTGCCAGGACTAAACACTTCCTAAACATTGAGGCCATCATACAGAAGCAGTTGATAGGTCATATATTCTTTAAATACCAGACCGCAACTGCATCTACTCAAGATGCAGTCAGGAATTGCAGGTAAGCACACTTCACCCACAGTCCGCACCCACAGTCCGCTACTCTGCACTGCATAGTGCACACTGCATGCTCAATCCCTATTACAGAATATAGGAACGCTGACTTGTGTCCTAGTCTCCTCCGAGCTGCATAATGCATTCAACGACTTCTCCTCGGACTCCTCCATCTTCTGTCTCCCTGTAACCATCACAGCAGAGAGCCTGACCCCCCTCTCCCCTATCCGCTTCTCCTCCCCCGGCGCATTCTACCCCTCCCTCTCGCAACTCTCATCTGTGCTACAGCCGAAAACTCCCCTCTATCTGCTTTTCCGTCGCCCCGAGTCGGGTTCCTCGTCCCTCTGCGCGTTGACATACATTCCCTCGAATGCCCCCGTCCGCGCCAAGACGCTCTTCGCCTCGACCCGTGCCACGCTGGTGCGAGAACTAGGCAGCGAGAAGTTTGCGACTACCATCTTTGCGACAGAGGAGGAAGAAGTCACCAGCGAGAATGCGTGGCGCGAGAGGGATGCAGAGAAGAAGGGGTCTGGTGCCAAGGGAGATTTCAGAAGGGAGGATTTGATGGGGGACAAGGAGCGTGAGCTGGAGGCTGTACGGAGGGCGGAGGAGGAGGCTAGAAGTGGTACTCCTGGTAGGGATATCGGGATTGGTGGATCGTTCGCGAGAGGTGGTTTTGGGTCTGGTGTGCAGTCTGGGATGCGGATGACTGTAGACGATGACGTGAAGACTGCTCTTGACGGACTACAGGATGGTGGGCTGGTGCAACTGGTACGTTCTCTGAAGTTTAAAGTTGATTTCAGAACTTAAGATCTTGTAATCTGTCATTGATTGCTAACTACGAGCTCTGCGAAATACAGGCCATTGACATCCCGTCGGAAACGTTCAAGCTCGCTGCTGCGGAGTCTGGTATTGACGCAAACTCCGTCCAGACGCATATTTCGTCATCCTCGCCTCGGTACACTTTTTATCACTATCCTGAAACCGACACCGTTTTCTTCATTTATACCTGCCCGTCGGGCTCGTCGATCAAGGAGCGCATGCTTTACGCAAGCTCTCGGATGTATGCTCTTCGCGTAGCCGATGAACAGGGGCTGAAGATTTCCAAGAAGGTATGCTTTGTGTGACAATCACATGATTGATTCTTTACCATCTAACGAGGCGACATGCAGATCGAGGCATCTTCTCCTGACGAGATCTCAGGTGACAGATTGCAGGAGGAGGTCCAGCCCCAACAGAATGATGGACTGAGACGAGGATTCGCCAGACCAAAGCGGCCTGGAAGGTAGAATTGGCTGTAAGGCTCTTCCGGGCACCTTCTTAGAATATTTAGATAGCCACCCTGTCACTTGTCATATATGCCCACCATTTCTAAGCTCTCAAGTATGAAAATCGCCCGGAAGCCGACATATTTTGCGGGAGGTGCGAGAAATATAATCGTAGGGCTGAAGATGCCTTGCCAGACACCGAGGAATGCATCGCGATCGGTCAAGGCACGGGGCGAACGAGGAAAGGCATGCCGCAACATCAATGATTTCGAAAACTTTTCTTTTGGTAGAATAGATCTGTCCTCGAACTTCCCAGATTGATAATCTTGGGGCATCCATCTCGATCCTTCTCTAATCTCGTACACTCGAAACAATAGAAGGCATCGCTGATACCTTCACCACCGCAGACAACACACTTGTTCTGGTAATTGCCGAAGGAGCATTCATCGCAGATCCGGACAAGAGTCGTAGGTCGCACGTAGGAATCGCACACGGGGCACTTGCCGTCGCACTTGTCACAGAGTCGGCCGATGGAAATACCAGGCTGCTTGCGGCACATAACGAGATCTGGGTGATGGCGAGACATGGCTGCTGAATTTGCTGCGTCGGCGCTGTATTGAGCAGGGAGGTATGTAAAAGGCTTCAAGCTGCAGATTGCTGAATATCGCCACTAATCCAAGCGACAAAGATAGTATCGGTAAAACTTCTGAGTTTCGGTTCCTGGGCGCAAATTTAAGGTGGCCAGGGAAACTTGGCAGGTTATTAATCAAGAGAGAATTGATAGAAGGCGTTGGAAGGAGAAGAAAGAAGATTCCACGGTACGCCTTTTGGTGCAGCAGATCGGGTAAATGGTCCGTGCACGGGAAGTTGGAGTCCCGCCTTTGATATCGCGACTGGACTTGCGATACCGGTTGTTCTCGTTTTGGGGGGTTTTTCAACGAGACAGTGGATGATCCAAGCGCAGTCGCTTGTTAGTTCTTTTGACCCTGTCATTACGAGACGTCTTGAAGCTATTCCTGGCATTTCCGCGACTGTCTAGAGATCGTGTCAAGAGTTCACAGCCCCAGATATGGCAGAAGGGTACGATATCGTCTACGCTCTTACTTTTGTGCAAGTTTATTTTGCTAACTCGAGATTGATGATCTCTTAGGACACTTGCTTCTGCAGTTGCAGTGCCTGAGCAGGACATCCTGGCTCCATCTCCAGATGCCACCCTCAAGCGAAGAAATTCTTCCACTACAGACCCTGATCCAGATAACAAGCGTCGCCGACTAAGTGCCCAAGAGGAGAAGGATCATCCAGCATCGGATCGCAAGCCTTCGTTTTCAGACACAGCAGAGCAGAGGCCAGACCGAAGGACCGGTCGGCAAGCAAATGGTCGCGATGAGGAGCGCAAGCGCGGACAACGACTGTTCGGAGCACTACTCGGGACGCTCTCGCAGCGGTCCACTACAGCAGCACAGAATCGTCGAGCAGACATTGAACGGAAGCAACAAGATAAATTGAAACTTCAAGACAAAGAGTACGATGAGTTGAAAAAGAAAAAGAGGGAGGAACGAGCCGCGCTTCGCAAGGAGGAACAGAGATACTACGAAGAGGAATCGGTGAGTGCCCGCTTGCCTCTCAGTTTACGAGCTTGCGAGCTTATGGCTGATATTCATAGATGCGAACCCGTCACTCGAATTTGTTGGCAATGGCACATTTTTTGAAGACAGAATCCGAGCCAGTGCTGGTATGTTATAGGTTCCCAAATGTCACGGTTTCGGTATCTTGATTGACTTAACCTTTCTTTTTTTTGCAGTACTACAAGCCGTGGCAATTGCGGCCCGAGGATGAGGACCTGATACGCCGCCAGGTTGAGGAAGCAGAAGCTACCATCTCCCGAGAGCGCGCTGAATTTGAAGCATGTCATCCTCCTCAGGAGGGAAGAGAATCAAAGAAGGAAAACGAGACCCAAACTGGTAATCAACACGAAGCTCCGCAGCCCGACGCGGGCGTCCAAGAGCCCAAAGATACGACCGACGAAAGCTCAGACAAGGGGAACGCTGAGACGAATCAAGACCACAATATTGAAGCTGCTCTACCGGAAACTATCAACGACGTCCCGGTATCAGTCAATCACACCGATTCAGATGACCATCGGGCAGCTGATGACGATGGGGGAGAGGTGGTCGAGGACAATGAGGATACGGTGATCTATTAATGTCATATTAGGCCATTTTATCTTCTTGAATATCTAGGCTCTGCCTTTCACCATACTCTTACTAATAACTCCTCCTGGTTAGTAATCATAACCACCGCAAGCATTTGTGGGGAGAAAGCAGCCGTAACTCCAGCCGAGGCAGTTCGGCGGCAAGAGCTGGACTTGGCAACAGACCATTCATGGCACAACCGACTCTCCTCCTCGACACGACAGAAATGGTATCGGGAATCCCTGATCCCATTGAGGTCCCTGTACCCCGTAATTCAGGCACTTTCCCCATTCTTATTTGTAGGCTTGTCATCTCTGTCCAGGTGTCCAATACATTTCGTCAGCTTCGAAACGCACGTGACGAGACAACTGGCGGGGATCCATAGCTTCGTTGTACATAAATAAGAGCAAAACTGGGTAGAACCTCATCTCCAGATTGTTCTCTATACTCCTGCAAGTGCCCGTTCGCATAAACCAAAGTTCAGATATCTGAAATTGTCTGGTCGGCGTTGCAATCATGATTGTTGATAAGATCAACGTCACCGGCGACCCTCGGGTCCAATTCCGTCAAGCAAGGGTCAATGGCAAGCAATACGGTATGCATCTTTGTCACTTCAGCACGTGTGCACTTTTTTTTTGGCATGCGGCCCAGGACTCCTGGGCTGACGGACTGATTATGCTGCAAGCGTCATCGCAAATCATAGCTTGACCGTTCACTAACTCTATATCTTTAGGCTACCTTTATAGTGAGCCAAAAACAGGCACATACAGAGCTACCATCTTCCTTGTTAGTCAGCTCTTGCTCACCTACAAATGCTTGAGCGAGTAACTAACTCTTTCTTAGCTCCATGGCTTTCCAGACCTATCGATGGGATGGCGGTATCAAATCCCCATGTTGATCGATATGGGACTGCGGGTTATTGCTCCAGATTGTTTGGGATATGGACGAACAGTATGAACTTTGATGCAACTATCTATCTCATTTTAATATTCAAATGCGCTGACTACGTGGTCTAGGATGCTCCAGAGGATATTTCGCTATACTCTCACAAGCAATGCGCCGATGACATCAAGGAGCTAGCATCACAACTTGGCGCCGACAAGATCATCGTAGGAGGGCATGACTGGTACGTTCCTCCTGACTTCCAGCTTTACATTCTGAGGGGCTTATGGCTGACCATATCTTACAGGGGCGCTGCGTTTGCGTACCGACTTGCCCTCTGGTATCCAGACCTCGTTACTCATTTGTTCACGGTCTGCGTACCCTATAGCCCCCCAACTAAGAAGTACTATCCTTTGGAGGAATTTGTAGCAACGGTTGCGCCGCATTTTGCCTATCAGTTGCAGCTGAAAAGCGGAGACTTGGAACCAGTCATCCGCACAGAAGATGATATCAAGAAATTCCTCGGCGCTTTGTACGGCGGTCGTACTGAAAAGGGAGAAGTAGCCTTTGACGCTGGCTTGGGAATACTCCTGGACAAAATGTTTGAGGTGAAACCGTCGAAGCTGCTCAGTGAAGAGGTTGGTTTTCCTTCTGTTTTGTGATTGCTCTCTATGTTTGGTTTTCAGGGTACTGATGCTGGTAACCTCAGGAACTTAACTATTATGCCAAAGAATTCTCAAGAACTGGCATTCGGGGTCCACGTAAGATACCACATATTTCCCTGCCTTGGTATCTTTGTGCAATAATGGATTGGATCGCTAATGAGACAACAGTGAACTGGTACCGGACGAGAGAAGTGAACCACAAAGAAGAACTAGCCATCCTTGACCGGCGCATCACGGCCCCGGTCCTCTTTATTCAAGCACTCAGAGATGCCGCCCTTCCGGCACATCTGGGCAAGGGTATGACAAAGACTATCCCTCATTTGACCTACAAACAGGTCAATACATCTCACTGGGCTCTGTGGGAGAAGCCCAAGGAGGTGAATGAGATGATCGCTTGGTGGCTGGAGGAAGTGGTATTCACCGATCCTCGTTTGTTCAAATTGTGAAGGTCACATAAAATTTGCTATGTACAGATTGTATACGATAGTATATACGTGTGATACTTCGATCATAACATGCGAGGCGTTTGTGGGTTACTTTATGGGTTGCCATGTTTACAGAGCCAAGGTCATTAGCTTGTTGGAATGAGTATTGTGGCCAAACTTGGATCTCAATTCATTATCGAAAACAGGGCGTAATCAGTTTACATAACTCTGACGTTTCATTAACATGATGGGCATAACATCAATAGACAAAACATCCTTCATTAGGGGCAGCGGGCAAGCAGGGCATCAAAAACGGTGGCGGCGTCAGTTGTCGAAGACCTGAGTCTCGACATGGCATCCAACCTTCTCTAATCGGCCAACAAACGGTTGTCCTAATGTTGCTGGCGTTACTATGCCGCATCGGGACACCTTCTTCACTCGCTCCGTCTCCTCCAAGATGACCATTGCTGCCTCGGCAAGTAGCAAACCAGTCAGTGCATACATCGACCCTTCATACTTGAATTTGCCGAAGACACGCTGCGGTGCAGCGGTCTTTTGATCAGCCGTCGCTACTGCACGGTACTCGACGTGGTCATTGACCGAATCTTCCTTGCGCGGCCCCTGACCTGCGGCGTAGACGACCTTCCGCACCAGCGCGCGAACGGGAGGGAGTATCAGAAGACACAAGCCGATGATGAAGGCAAAATGGAAGAGCACACCGACAAGCGCATTTCTAACTCTGACGAATTGCCGGAAATGAAAGCGTGGCCCGTAGAATTCCGGCATCAGGGTACTGCTTCGGTGCACGATGGTGATGTCCGCTATACCTGATGGCGATGTGGTGAGAGTACCCAAGT